TGGAGATTGTAATACTAGGACTAGACCCAGAACAACGTCTAAAAAACGTCACATTGGTACACACGGATTGAAATGGAACAAACAAGGTGAGCAGTTGTCTCAGGTTAACACGACGACTAAAACTATTTATGGTAAACCGCTGTTCCAGAAGCAGCGCTCTCAACGCTGAACGTGGAAGTCTCTCAATGGAAAGTGCCATAACAAAATCGACCACATTGAAGTAAATCGAAAGTTTTGCCTAACCGATGTCGCCTTTGCCCTAAAATTCTGCATGGGACCGGACCATCGCCTACTTCTCTTTCGTGCACGATTTCATTTTTTGCGAAAACGAGAAAAAGCCACTAAATGCAAAAAACAATGTATCAAAACCTCCTCGAACTGAGACTTATTCAGCTCACTACTCAGCTGTTTGGAAAATGCCATTCTTGATAACAACGACAAGGACTACGACCGGCTCATTAAACATTGTAACGTTAGCGCTATTAAAGCTGAGAGTTCGAAAGTCACCAAGAGACGTCTATCTACAGAAACAGTCCATCTGATACCCCAGCATGGAATCGAACGAGTGACGGATAAACGCCAACTTACGTCCGAACTTGCAAAAAAGTACAGATATGCAATAAAAGAAGATCTTAAAGAGAGAAGAGTAGCAGTCATCGTCGAAGATGTAGAGGCTGGCGAAAGCATTTGCAAAGCCCACCGAAGCTTCGCTAATTACAAAACCAAGATGACTCCATTCCGTCGCCAGGACGAAACAGTAACAGCTTGCAGGAATTCAAAGGATGTGCACGACTACTACTCGGATCTTCTCAATAGCCACATCTTTCTGAATTCAGATTAAATAAAGGATGATGCGTATATCGTCTCGCCGGCTCTCCCTTCCGAGATATAAAATGCTATTTGGTCGGTGAATAACCGAATAATAGGCCTGGAGTGCATGAAAACTGAACACCTGAGCAACCTTCCGCCAGTCCTCATGAACATATTGGCTCGACTGTTCTCACTGTACCTGTCTGAATGATGCAAGATTCTTATTGAACAGAAAATCAGCAAGAACGTGCTATTGTTGAAGAAAGATGACCTCTACGACATCGACAACTATCGCCCTATCTGCCTAGTGTCTGTTGTCTACAAACTTTTCACTCAAATCATCCTAGACAGAGTTAGCAGGACACTGGACGAAGGAAAGCCATGTGAGCAACCAGGGTTTCGAAAAGGACTCAGTACGATGGAGGACATCCACACGATAACGAGTCAATGAAGTATCACGAGAGTACAGAGACCGCGCTATCTCGCTGTAATCGATTTAAAAATTCTTATATAGCTCATTAAGAATTTTTATATACTGAGTAGGGACGCCTTGCCTGTCCAGGTTTTTAACCCATTTGAGACAAAAGCAGTCGCGGAAGCCCTGGTCAGGCAAGGCGTCCCTACTCAGTATATAAGGATTCTTAATGAGCTATATAAGAATTTCATAACCAAGGTATCATTATTTTACAATGATACTAACATCGACATCAAAAGAGGGGTTAGGCAAGGCGATACCATCTCGCCAAATATATTTACCTTCACCCTCCAGAATGTCATGCGTACATTTTAATAAAGCAATGTGGTAGTGAAAATCAGTGGTAGGCGATCACACCATCTTCGCTTTGCTGATGAAATCATTTTTACAACACAAAACTTTAGCCAGACGGAACTAATGCTGGCCGACTTCAACAAAGCTTGCGGAAAGACTTGTCATCTACTAGATCTCACAAAAACAGTGTTAATGAGGAACGGTTTGGTTACGTATGACCCACTCAAGTCCACTGGAATGAATATCTCCGAATGCCACAATTACGTCTGTCTAGGTCGGGAAATCAACATGATGAACGACTTAGCACAAGAGTTGAGCAGAAGGGGACGAGCGGCATGGCGAGCTCAAGAGCACCGAGGATGTAATGAAGAGAACAAAGAACACCCGACTCCGCGTTCACCTTTTCGACTCAATGGTACTTCCTGCCCTAACGTATGCGTCAGAAACCTGGTCGATGCGTAAGCAGGATGAAAGACCACTCAGCGTTATCGAAGGCGCAGTCGAAATGACGATCCTAGGAGCATCCCGTGTCACACAAATAGGGGAAGACATCCGAAGCTCCGACCTGCGTCAACGATCAAAAATCAAACATGTCGTCCGATGCACTACACTGTCGAAGAAAAGGTGAACTGGACACGTAATGCGTAGGAACAACAGCCGTTGGACAAGAACCGTTAGTGACTGGATTCCTCGGGATGTCAAAGCACTGCAGGAAGACCACCAACCCAATGGTCAGTATTCTTCACTAGAACCCTAGAAGAGAGGTGTGATGCTCACCAAGTCCCTAGAGTTAACAGAACCCATGGCTGTCAGCTTGGGCTACTCTTGCACACAATGGAAGAAATGGAAAATTTACTGGCGCCTGCTCGAGTCACTCTACAGTCAACTGGACGAGGGGTAGTAGAGGTGCTATTTGAAAATCTCACCAAGCCCATATAATGTTGGTTTCGCAAAGTCATACAAAAGAGAAAAAATGGTTACAAATTATTTTCAAAGATTCCACTTTAATATTTCTAAAAAAGGTTTTTTGAAGTTAACACCTAGAAAATCTCGATCCTAAACGACAATTTCTCCACAAGTCGAAGAAGAAATACGGGGATTCCACGCGTATTCTTTTACTGATAAGCTAATACAAGGTTGATAAAAGGAGTGTTCAGCCGACGTTTCGACGTCATCGTCTTCTTCAGAACTGATGGTCCGAGTCGGTGGTCCACGGAAGATATGATTCGTCACGACGACGAGGACACCACTTCGAGAAGGCGAACAACTGCGAACCATCGAATGGGATTATCGATTCTGAGAAAGACGAAGAAGTCAGAGCGCTAACCAAATAAACTCTTTTTATCAATCTCGTGCTAGTTTATGAATAGAAGGATACTTTATGCATGTTTAGCCGGTTGGTTTTCTTTCTTCGTCTCACTTTTTTTTAGCCCTGTGAAAGTAGGAACGAATTAAATTTGCTTGGCGTGACGTAAAGCATTTTCGAATGCATGTCGTAAGTCGTACATACATGTCGTAAAATCTTCTAAATCCTCTGAATTCATTTAAAGGACACCTAATGGCAACAAAAACGACCACAACTACCGCACTCTGTTTTTGCTTCTCCTAATTATTCGGCTTCGGCTGAGTTGCATGTTTATTGGAATTTTTCATCTTTCTGTGGGAATAGTAATCAATAGTGTGTTTCATATGATTTTAAAGGATAAGCATCCGTTTATTTTAAAAAATGTTTTTCAACAGATACTTTGTGCATCGGATTGAAATATACTTGCGAAATTAACGACGAACGATATGTGCTTTCCATCACGGTGGATAACTTTCTTCCATAGGTTCCAGTCTTCTATTTCTAATATCGAACATCAGTTTTAAAACGAACGAGGAAACGAGTATGGACCGATGAAGGCGTACTGTATATCGGTTTATGTGCAATTTCGCGGCTTCTTGCATGCTTCGCGAGAATTGCTCGCAACATTCACTTGAAATCTGGGTGGCTAAAGTTGCAAGTTGCTAGAAAGAGCGATGGCTGAATGCAGGCAGTTTGCACCTTGGTAAAGGTAATTATTAGTTAGTGATTAAAGGTTTTTACAGATTTGTGTTTGTCATTGAACGAAATGTGCTTTTTCATAATTATGGTGGTTATGACAATGATATTCGTAGGAAACATATTCAATGATTCCAATTGTACTTTATCAATGCAGTCGTATCGTTGTCGAAAACCGCTCGAAAATGTGGTTGGATGCTTCTCAACGCATTGGCAACAATGCGTAATAAGATGTTGTGACAACACACTGTTGATAACACTGGTTCTTGGCGTACCCAATCAATACTAGTTTTTCTATGCAAACTGCGCGCCACCAAATTTAGTTTCTCCTCCCGCGCGGTGCACATTAAAAAGTTCCTCTTAAAAAGCTGTTTTTGTAAATGTTATCGGAGTAGAGGATGGCTTTTCAAGGATCAGATCTGACACAGCATTCATATTAGGGAAGCTATCGACGAAATACAAAGATACACTCATTGAAATCAATGCTAGAGGGCCACTCAGCTGATCTCCAAGTATTCACTGTATACGGTCTTGGGTCGACTATGTATTTCTTCTAGCATTTTGATCTTAAATCTCGCTATTATTCTGTAGAATATCATTCTATTGAATCCTATGGTTATTTTTTCTTGCGGCTAACCCAACTAACAACCACTTTTGCAATGTTTAACATTCATTTACTGCTTATTATTTCTCTTTCTTCAAGGTGTTATGTGAAATTCAACCAGAATGATGTTCAGGCATTAGCTGAACTGGAAACCCCAGGTGAGATTCGAACCCGTCGCTTCCAAAATTCTCGAGCCGAACCCTTGTACTTTTCGCTCCATCATTCGGTTCCTCTGTGTAGAGCAGCGTTTTTGCATAATTGACCATAGTAAGATATACTAAAGTAGTCGCTTACATATTCATATCCATAAAACAGTGGAGTAAACTCTCCTATAATCCTGTCATGTTCACAATCGCTAAAACAATCTAGTTATTGGGGAATTATTCTTAATTGTCATGAAATGAAATGGTCACCAGCCGACGAGAAATTGCTCGGAGTGCGATTAAGTTAGGAAAAAGGTAACAAAGTCCCACGGGTTTGCACTTTCGCATTTTATCATGATCTGCTCCTCGATTCGAAAATAACAACATGTACGCATTACAATAAAAATATAAATACCAAATGTACATTGCGTATAACATGTTCCCATAAGGAAGCCGTTGTTATCCTCGTCGTAGATATGGGAGAAGGTCCTGAATAACTCCCTTTTCTACAAGATTTTTCAGGCCAGTGCTTGCCTTCTGCTGTTGAGAAACGGCATTCTTTCGATAGTGACGTGCTTGGAATCTGGTCGGTTTTCCATCCATTCCAACAATTCATTGCTATTTGAAGAAACAATGCCGGTAGCCATCATAACTGGTAGGTTTCACTCTGCGGTCGTCCAAGCGATTGTGTTCTCCGTATGGATAACGATCAATGTTTTCTTTATTGTTCGACCTTTATTGTTATAAATTTTTCCTTTGTTTTGTTTACATTAATTTCTACTCTAACGACTTAATTTGTTATCTAACATCGAATACTTGGATACTTGGACGGCCCGTCCTCACTAGTTTTGCGGGCTCCAGCATAATCTCCATTCTTCCGAGTTTTGCTGGCTTAACCACCGTGATTCCCTGGAGTTTCGTGGCCAACCTGACCAAAGTCTGCCCCAGGTCATCACCACCACAGGCGGTCGCCGCCCTGGTTGTTCAGAGGGAAATTTTTCACCATGCGTCTAGTTTGATACCAGGATGGTAGTGAATCTTAGTATTGGTTGTTTAGATATCTAATGTGCTCATACATAATAGAAGAAATAGAACTAGTGCAATAGTTAAAGCAGTCAACTAGAGAATGTGTCGTTCTTTACATATTTCGTTCAATCGATCTCTAGTATGACTCATAGTATGATGTATGAACCATTCTTAGGACTACCAGAATGCATCAGCCAATAGAATTCTTGTGCTTATTATGAAACCTTTCATGTTCACGCTTCAAAAATCCTTCAACTGAACATATGAACATTGTCTGTAGCATGAAACACTTAAGTCAGAAGGCGTATCAGATTTAGAAGCTTTCATTCCGTGAACAGTGTTTGGGTTCCATATTTCATTTTTTCCAACTGTTTAAGTTGTTTTGTAATTAATTAGATGTTAAGGAGCAAGCTCAGGAATCGGTCGTGCGGCTGCAGTTTTGTTTGCCAGGAATAGATATCAGCTGTCGTTGAACGGTAGAAACGAGAGTGCACTTAAGGAAGTGGTCAAAGAATGCATTCAACAAGGAATTACCGAAGATGATGTGAGTTTTCATGTTCACCTCATTTCGGTCAGTATCTCAGTTTGTTAAAATTTTCTTTGGTGAAGTAGTACAACTAGACTGTTCAGGTTGTGATCAGTTTTGCTGATCTCGCGGTTGATAATGCTCCTAAGTCTATAGTCGATAACACACTGAATAAATTTAATAGAATAGATTCATTGGTAAATCTTTAAGTTCTGTTTCATTCCTTTTTTCTCATACATAACCTCGAGAAGCTCTTCTTTCGCCTACTTCCTCTATACTATAAAATTCAGGTGAATTCTGCAGGCATACTAAGATCTGGCCAGGTGCTCGACTCAGATATATCCGTATACGATGAATTGTTCAATGTCAATGTTAGATGGTTTGTGTTAATTATACTGAGCTTACCTTCTAAATGAAATTGCCTGCATAAAGTGGTCTTCATTTTGATTCAGATGGAGGCTTGTAGCCCAGTGGTCAGAGGCACCCTGCAATACATATAGGATCGATCCGGTGCCTCAGACTCGCCAAGGCCTTCCATCTCTCCGGGGTCGGAAAATTGGTACCAGACTTGTCTGGGAGGATAACAACACGGGCTTGATACATGGATGGACCACCGCGAGTTATTGTAAAGACCAAATATGCATTCAATCACCTCCAACGATGCTTAATGAAGTCAGGTGTATGGCTCATCATTCAGGGATTGAACAACTTTGAGAATTTCGTCTTTTTTTACCATTAATCAAAAAATGGTGTTGAGAAAATAACTCTTCGGACTGGTAGTTCGATCTTTTCGCTTTTGAGGTCACATAGTTACTATATTTTGTAAACTAACCAATTAATTTTGGTTTATCACATCTCGTTAGGCCATGAAGTTATAATGTAGAATATGATCAAAGAATATAATAGTGTCTTTGGAATAGAAGGTGTTCAGTCTTGTCCGTCTCACACGTGAAGCACTTCCTCACATTATCCAATCGAAAGGTACAGTTGTCAATGTGAGCAGTATAAATGGTCCTTGTCCCGTAAGTGTTTTTCTGTGAATACTAAATTCTAAAGAGTTAGCGACATAACGCTTTGTCTTTTACAGTTTGCTGGTGTCGCTTATTATTGTATGTCCAAGTCAGCAGTGGATCAATTCACCAAATGTCTTGCTCTTGAGATGGCTCCTTATGGTGTGCGGGTGAACGCCGTTAAGTAAGGTTTAGAACAAGTAAAGTTCTTTTTTCTTTTCTTCTTTCTTCTTGTTCTTTAAATCATTCTCGCATAATTTTGTTCACCTACATCATCGTGCTAGTAATATTCCACGGGTAGGAAAAAATCGTATATCTATAGCACGAAAATTGAACTACTTTCAAGGAAAGAGTTACCCTTGTCTACCATATTCTTTCTTACCAATGATATCCAGTACTTGGCATGCCTCATAAAAGTACAAGAGTTAATATTATTACAGTCCGGGAGTCACCATTACGAATCTACACAAACGAGCTGGTCAAGACGAAAAGACGTATGCAGCCGTAGGTCCATTTGCTCGTTTTTGTTCCCGAAGTTGTCGCAAAATCTGGTTCTCTCTATCACTTATAGTTCTTGGAGAAGAGCAAGACCACTCATGCACTTGGCAGACCATGTGAAGCGAAGGAAGTTGCAGAAGCAATACTTTTCTTGGCTTCTGAAAGAAGTTCATTTACAACTGGACAACTGCTTAGAGTTGATGGTGGACGAGGCATTATGCATCCACGATGAAGACGGCTTATTGTATAGAGAGACATGCATGTTCTATGTTGCACGTTCTTGTCATTGAACTTGCAAAATGTTTTGTTTGAATAGCTGTATGTTATATTAGTGTTTCCATTGTACTTCATCAGAAATTTATAGAGTACTGTTGCCTATAAATTGTCGTTGGAAATGAATTTTCATAAATTTTTAGTATTGTTTTACGTTATTCCGTTGCTCTGCGACGTCAGTTGCTGCAGGATGTGTTGTTGGAATATATTCGTTTGCGTCATATTTAAACCGTTTAGGTGTGTGGCAGACATGGCTCCTGTGGCTATAATAACGGGTATGTACAAACCTTCTATGCTTTTCTCAACCTTCTGTACTTGATTCTTATTCCAGGAGCTTCGTCGGGAATAGGAAAGGGTACTGCTGTACGTTTCGCTCGTGAAGGATATGCGTTATCGCTGAGCGGTCGAGACGAAGAAGCGCTGTCCGAAACAGCCAAATTGTGTAAGGAAGCTGGAGCTGCTGATGTTAGTACATCGAATTTACTTAGCATTGTTTCCACCCATCTGTTTTTTCTACCGTTCCCGCAAATTTTCAACAACAGAGGCAGTTGTAGCGGATTCGCACCTAGGTTATGTGGTGACAAATAAGAAGGCAAACCTAATTTACCAATCGGAACAACTCAGTAGTTAGTGACATTTTCAAAAATGGTTAATAGATGCTGAGTTGTTTGCAAAACTCCGGACCGCAGGTATCTGCGGTGGTGATCGGACATACTACTAGACTTTCCGGTGGATAACGCGTTCACCCCCACGCTATGTGGATCCTTTGTTTCGCCTTTTCTCAGTTAGACTAGTGATTAACAGAAACAAGTTTTGAAAAAACTACAGGTGAATCCTTTTTTTCTGTGTTGTTTAAAGACTGTTTTACTTTTGCCATTCAGGATTAATTAACATAATTAATGACAAACCCGTTTTATCAAGGTGATTGTCACTGCTGGTGATCTTTGCATTCAATCGAATGCCCAGAAGCTTCTTGATAACACCATAAAGCAGTATCAGCATGTTCATACTCTGGTAAGGCACTTTGTTAACCGGACGACTTTAACCTTACTATATGGAACAGTGTACTCGTTCGCGTTCGAAATAATAACTGCTGTTCAAATAGAAATTCATAATCAGGTGAACGCTGCAGGAATATTGGTCAGTGGGAATGTCATTGATGCTGATTTAGACTTATTCGATCGCCAAATGGACGTTAATGTAAGAAGGTAGATCGATATTTTACAAAGCTCCAACGGGACCTAATATGGCTTTACAGTGCCCTTTTTAGTGTTGTCCAACTGACAAGGCTAGTTCTTCCCTACATAATAAAGTCTAGAGGAACGGTGGTGAACGTGTCAAGCATTACAGGACCGTGTGCTGTAGGTTTGCTTTTCCATAAATGTTTTAAGCGGTCTGTTTACTCTCAATAATTCAATTTTACGTTTGCTCCTGTTTCCATCCATCACTGAAGGAAACCGATTGGGTTTGGCGTAGTTTTCAGTTTGGTGGAGTGACCTACTACTGTATGTCGAAATCAGCCCTAGATCAGTTCACGAAATGCCTAGCTCTTGAGATGGCACCCCATGGAGTGCGCGTTAATTCTGTGAAGTAGGTTCATTCCTTCTTGTTCCCGTAGTTTTTGAAGATCGCATGGTTGATTAGGTTGGTTAACTCTGCAGGTTACACTGGGAACACTTAGGACCATTCCTTATTATAGAGCGTATGTGGCGCAGTGGAGACGGCACTGCGACACACACGTGGAATCGATCCCGCGTCCATGGCCCACCAGGTCTTCCATCCCTTCGGGGTCGGCAAATTGGTACCGGACTTGGCTCCTAGGATAGCAGCACTGACTCGACAGATCTGCAGGCCACCGCGAGTAATTGTAAGGGTCAGATATGCATTCAATCACCTCCAACGATAATTAATGAAGTCGCATGCATGGCGTATTCCTCAAGGAGTGATCAGCGCCGAGAACCTTATCCTTTTTATTTTTATTCTTGATTATAATATGGCACTCTCGCGACCTCCGACGAGTAGTCGGAGATCGCGAAATTTCGTTTACGACTTAAACTGCTACTCAAGGTTTCAATTTTAGCCCAGGCGTTATAGTTACCAATGTGCACAGGAGATCAGGCATGAATGAAGACAGTTATCGAGAGGTAGACGTCAATAGTTGCTTGCACGTCTTTCCCGCATTGTTTACCATTTCTACGAATTTTGTTTTAGTTTTTGGAAAAAGGAAAAACTACACATGCACTTGGACGTGTAGGTGAAGTATCTGAAGTGGCTGAGGCTATTCTGTTTCTCGCTTCTGACAAGAGTTCATTCACTACGGGCGAACTACTGAGAGTTGATGGTGGAAGAGGAATTATGCATCCACGCTAAACTCCACTTCTCTGTTTTTGTTTTTCTTAGTTTCTCGTATTGTAGTAAATGCCATGCTGTTTAGGTTTTCATGTTTTCAAACTCGAACTAGTACACCTAACAATGGTAATTCGAGTTACTAATTTACAAAAGGGGATATTTTAGTGTAAATAAAAATGTGCATGTGAGATGATTATTGTAATGTGGTTGCACCTTATTTTGCTTCAAATTTAGAAACTACGCTGTTCCAAATTACAAGCGTCTAAACAGCAAAGCAAACTGATTCGTAGCAATAGATTATTTGTTATGGAGCAACAGAAGATATGTCAGGCTCTCACCTTGCACTCATTTTACACCAACACTTATCGACTATTTTAGAAAGCAAACTTTACTGGGCTTCAGATTCATGCCTTGTTTTACCTGTCACTTATTCCTACCAAAAATAGTATCCGAAGTGGATAAATGGTCACGATATACATTTCATGTGAAGACTTATTCAAATAGCTGCCTTTTTATTTTCATGGGAGTGAAAATTTTTTCTAGTCAAAATCATGTAAACTGTTAGAACAATTTGGGTACCATAACTATATAGAATGATTTTTTATGTGCCTAAATTGTTGAGCTTGTACAAGGTTGATATATTAGCATTATTCGGCTAACGTTTCGACGTCTTCATTTTCTTCAGAGCCGGTGATCTGAGTTGATGGTCTACACTTGTTCGTCTTCTCGATGTGACATCTTCGTAGTCGTATAGAGATAACGGACCTTCTTCGGTGGAACTCAGCATATACTTTCTTCACAAGCTGTACTGCGCATTTCTGTGGAGCGAGCGATAAAATAGATGTGGTCGTTGAACTAAAATATCCATTCCAGCTCTATCGGTCGGCTGAATCCCCATGAGGTTCTGGATATTGGCACTGAGGAAAAAAATTCGTGAAGCATCCACAGAGTTTTTAAAAAGCAGATTCAATGTACTGACGATAAACATCTCAACTGTGGAACTGGTTACGATAGCTGAGGAACAATTCCTCTATGTCGTAGTTGTATTTGGTTCGCAGACCGATGCTGTGCTAGTTACTGAGTAGCAGGTAATGACACTAATCTTATAGGAAGAATAGTGATCGAAAGCTGTTAGAGGAAGTGGTAGTCTTTTGTGACTCGGTAATATGACGGTCGACGGAAGTATGCGTACAGTGCCAACGTCAACAATATTTCGTAACGAGCTCTATTGAACAACACTTTTCAAAACGTTAAGTAATCTTGCCAGACAATGGCTTTCGTTTTTTACATAATGGTCAGTCGGTTAGATTCAAACTACTTGCAAGTGCTTTCTGATTCGGACTGATTTTCTTTTCGGAATCGTTTCATTTCACTCTATGTTTATCCAGTAAACGGTCATGCCAACAAACGACTACCAAGAAGTAAGTTAGTAATGAGCTCGCTCAAGAGGGCGATGGGTCATACAAAAGATTCAAAACTGCTTGAAATGTTGCAGGCCACTTCCAAAGATCGCACACCTAAATGGATCACTATATGTGGTAACTGTCAGGTTAAGGTCACACGAACGGATGCCCTCAGAGTGAGAAATTACTTCTCTAGAGTATTTCATTAATCTTGACAATCTTCCAAGGGTTTGCTGCCTCGTCGTAGCTGGGAGGTGCTCGCTGATGTCGGGTTGCGATCTACAGCGAATTGTTCATTCCCAGTAGGGTCTCTCAGGATGAGAAGCAGACCGAAGCATCCATTCGGAAGCCTACCTAAGAGTAAGGCAATAATGGGAATCACCACCGACCAGGTATCAAACTATTCGCATGATGAAAAGTATTCCTCTGATCCACAAGCGCGACGACTGCCTAGGGTGGTGACGACCGGACGTGGGTTTCGCTAGAATGACTTTAGGTAACCAGGGAACCAGCATGGATAAACCAACAAATGTCCAGCCAAATGGAAATTATGCTGTGGACCGCATAACCACTGAAGACGCCATTCTAGTATCCAAATACTTCACTAATATGGCTAGCAAATCTATGTAGTGAGTGCCGGAAGTGCAGTAGCTAGAGTGGCTTTCCAATACAGGCATGATCGCAGGCTCGTATTGTACCAAGTAAGCCTTTCGTCCTTGTAGCATCGGCAAATGGTAACCCGATTTTTCTGCGAAAGACTCTGATGCATAAAAGGCAGTGATAAACGGCTGTGAAGATTTGAGAGCGCTTTAACAAGGCGCTCCTAGAATTACAACGAGGATCAATTTGACCAACCTTCAACAGCATCCATAAGGAAGATAAAGTCCTCATCTAGCAACCGAACCTTCTGAAAGTTTTCGTGGATGGCGCATTGCACCGAATGAGAGAAGTGCTGGCGTCCCTAGTTTACGTGAAGACGGGTTGTACTAATAAAATAAGTAAAAAGTCAATATAAATGAGATATTATAAGTATACTAAATGTTTTTTCTAGGGGGAAGTGGTGGCTGCTGCTGGACGATTGTGGCACACACGGCATTTCCAGTGCACAGAGTGTCAGGTTATAGATAGACAATAATTTAAAAAAAGTTTCTTAACGTTAAAAAACCGTAAGTAGCCGACACGATTTGGTAGTAACTTTGGTGCATTTGCCATCTATCCATGAGAATGTCCATTTTTTGACCACAGCCTTGTTTCCCATGGCTGCTATCGCGTAACCCGAATTGAATTCTTTTCGCAAACTCAACTCATAATTATAACCACAATGATGCTAAGATATTTGCAAAACTCTGGATCGCAGGTGTCTGTGGTGGCGATCGAGCACCCTATTACCTTTTACGGGGATTAACGCTTTCACCACCACACCATGCAGGTCGTTGGTTTCGCCTTACTTTCAGCCGTATTTTCTAGGTGTTATCAGCAATCATCCGTCAACAGGATTGAGGGAGCACAAATTGGCATTCAATCCAGTTAGGCTGAACCCGTAGTATAAATCACAGTGTAATCACACAGTGCTTAATATAGTTCCCCACCGCAGAAACTTGCGGTCCGGAGTTTTATAAATATCTCAGTATCACTGTGGTTATATTCACATCATACCCTGCCATGAAAAAGAATAGACTGTAAATAAAAGGTGATTTCAAGTTAAAGTACTTCTAAAAAGTTGAAAATTTAGGTGACACTTTTAAATAATGAATACTATACATCAGGAACTAACGTGATGTGCCTGGACTGTCATCTCGATGATGTCAATCTTAAGTGTGGAGGTATCGTCGAGTTTAATTAATGAGTTGGTTAAAAAAAAACTAAGGGATTCGGTAGAAATATGACGGCAGCTCTGATGAGAAATATTGCACGCACAGCAGATGTGTGTCTTCGTGAAGACTGATACTGATGGTTTTAGAGTGCAATCGAACACTGTATGAAGAATATCTCTCGGTGAATGGACAGAATTTGCATCACGATTGTTTTCTGTGTGCACGATGCAGGAATCCAATGCCAGGTTCGATTCCGAGAGTCCTTAATAGTGATAGTCATCAGTAATTGTGGAGAGCATACGTTGTGCATTGAAATCGTCGCATAAGGTCCATTCTGCTTAGGTCGCATGTGTTGAAACTGTTAGAACAAGCGCTATGTCACGGCGTTACTTTACATAAAATATAGTCAAATCGTCCTTTTGTTTTTCTACCATTCACGCATATTTGTACTTAAAAATAATAACCGAGAGCTAGCTAATGCTTATTTCAGCGTTGTTCATTGTTGACGAACTTGTTGTCAATTCACTTTAGTTCTCTAAGAGCCGGATTCTGGAGTAGACGTGAAGTCACAGTATTGCTCGATTTTACTCTGCTTCACTAGCGTATAGTTTAACGAGAAGCTATAATAAGATGTTGGTGATTTTTCAACTGACGAACATGGAATACCAGCAGAATCACCTGGAGCCATAAAACTCGTCTCATGATTCCTTTAGAAATGAAAATCCAAAGGTGACTTGTATATTCGGATATTTTCAGGACGACAGTATCTCATCCATGAGGGAAAGTGGTACGATGAAGACTGTTACTATCGTGTGAAGTACCAGCTTAACTTACTTAGATTTCAATAAAGCGAGATGATTGTTGTGCTAAGAGCAAAATCATTCCAATGATTTCTACGATGTTTCGATTCGTAGTAGTTGTGGTAGTGCACAGTGGCGAACATAAGGCTATGGTTAGAGATACCCTAGAACGCACATCTCTTAAATGGTTCATTCCCATGCTTAAGGATATCCAAGTCCCTTATACCCTCACGCGTCGGAAAATTGGTTCCAAACTTGTGTGGCAGGATAAAAACACCGACTTTATACATCGATATGGCACCGCATATCATTCTACATACAAAATAAGCATCCATTCATCTCCAAAACACTGCGAATGGGGTAGAATACATGGCATACCTTTCATGGATTTATCAGAGCCGAGAGCATTATGAAGACGGTACTCGTACACGCACAGTATAGCCGAAAAAACCTGCCTACTCCAAGCAAACCCCGACTTAGTATGAAACTGAGGAGTCGATTTTCCTTATTAATTCAGGCGATGAGGTAACCATTGAAACTCTTACCGTTTTCTTTTCCACTAACTGTCTTTTTTTTTGCTCTGCACGTTCAAACACCAAAGCCAGTCATTTCTAACATCGATGTGCAAATCACATCAAGACGCTTCACAGACTTAAGGAAACCAGTAGCAAAAAGCTTGGCATTAGTCAATTATACAGTTTTGTCTTTACTACATGCTTAGCAAAAATGCTGGCATGGAATGTCGATGACATAAGGTTTACCGCTCATCCTCTGCTTCCTCTTGACGTCAACGTAGACGAGACAGTTTCTTCCTCGACCGGTCATCGTTCGCCTCTAATCTCCACATAAAAAAGGGTCACCACCCACAACTGCTTGTTACCAGACTGCGCAGACGATAAGTATGAATTGGACACATTGTATAGTCAACGCTAAGAAATTATCAGCAATGAAAAGGCCTACTACATGGTTTTTTGTTGATTGAGGTCTCTTTAAGAATTTCCTCA